TTAGGCACCAGTTCTAAATGCAATTTGTTCTTTTTCTTAAAAATGTGACTAAACATATTTTTAAACTTTTAATATTTCTTCTTTGTATTTACGCAGCTTATTAGAACATTCACTAATGAACAATTTGCTAAAGAAAGATCTATGAAATACCTAATTCTAGAAAGTTACTATCGCAGGCAAAGGTATTGTCAGTACGCAGCGGCGAGGGATATTAGACTGCTCCGCCTCCTCACAGGGGGTTTGCATAATCCCTAAACACTCAGATACAATAAAGTGGGCAATGATGAAAATTTCCCGGCTTGATTACAGAAAATTTTGAATTCGAATCGACAGCTTTTTGAGATAAAATTTTTTAAATTGCATTTCAAAATGAATATGTAGAATCTTGCCCCGGGACATTAAAAACACTATATTTTTGACAAAACAGCACATCACAGACTTGTCTGAGGATTTTTTGACAACTTTTTCAAAACCAAAATTTTTCAAACATGAATTTTGCAATTAAGCTCCGCCTCTCAAAATGACAACAAATGAAAAATTCGTCACTATTGAGAAGGGCGGGTGGGTGGGGCTTCATTAATCAATATTTCTTTTTCTTAACATGCATATAGTTTTTTTTTCAATAACACGAACGATACTTAAGCAATGATGCCCCCAAAATTGTGTCATAATAATTTAAAATAGACTTCGTGGCCCTCCAGATTGTATCATGATCATTTTACAGTCGACATACGTGGCCTTCAGATGATTGTGTCAATCATTTAAAATTGACACACGTGACCTTCGAAACTGTGTCAAAATCGTTTATAATAAAATACTTGTAGCCCCAGAGATTCCATCATAATCGTTTTAAAAAGAGTAGAAATTATTTAATAATCTTTTTAATGAAGCAAACAAATATGAATTTTGCAATTAAGCTCCGCCCCTGAAACTGTCAACAAGTGAAAAATTCGTCACGATCGAGAAGGGCGGGTGGGTGGGGCTTAATTATTCAATACTTCTTTGTCTTAATATGTGTATCTTTTTTTTTAATAATACGATACTTAAGCATTGGGGTCTCCGAAATTGTGTCATAATAATTTAAAATAGACTTCGTGGCCCTCGAAATTGTATCATAATCATTTTAAAATTGACATACGTGGCCTTGAGATTGTCTCAATCTTTTACAATAGACACTTGTGGCCTCGGAAATTGTATCATAATCATTTAAAATTGACACGTGATCCTCGAAACTGTGTCAAAATCATTTACAATAAGACACTTGTGACCCCAGAGATTACTTCATCATCGTCTTAAAAATTAAAGAGATTATTTAATAATCTTTTTAATGAATCAAACAAATATAAATTTTGCAATTAAGTTCCGCCCCTGAAACTGTCAACAAGTGAAAAATTCGTCACGATTGAGAAGGGCGGGTGGGTGGGGCTTAATTATTCAATACTTCTTTGTCTTAATATGTGTATCTTTTTTTTTAATAATACGATACTTAAGCATTGGGGTCTCCGATATTGTGTCATAATAATTTAAAATAGACTTCGTGGCCCCCGAAATTCTATCATAATCGTTTTAAAATTGACATACGTGGCTTTGAGATTGTCTCAATCTTTTACAATAGACACTTGTGGCCTCGGAAATTGTATCATAATCATTTAAAATTGACACACGTGATCCTCGAAACTGTGTCAAAATCATTTACAATAAGACACTTGTGACCCCAGAGATTCCTTCATAATCGTCTTAAAAATTAAACAGATTATTTAATAATGTTTTTAATGAATCAAACAAATATAAATTTTGCAATTAAGTTCCGCCCCTGAAACTGTCAACAAATGAAAAATTCGTCACGATTGAGAAGGGCGGGTGGGTGGGGCTTAATTATTCAATATTTTTTTTTCTTAATATGTGCATCTTTTTTTTTAATAACACGATATTTAAGCATTTGAGTCTCCGAAATTGTGTCATAATAATTTAAAATAGACTCTTTGGCCCTCGAAATTGTATCATAATCATTTTAAAATTGACATACGTCGCTTTGAGATTTTCTGAATCTTTTACAATAGACCCTTGTGGCCTCGGAAATTGTATCATAATCATTTAAAATTGACACACGTGATCCTCGAAACTGTGTCAAAATCATTTACAATAAGACACTTGTGACCCCAGAGATTCCTTCATCATCGTCTTAAAACTTAAACAGATTATTTAATAATCTTTTTAATGAATCAAACAAATATAAATTTTGCAATTAAGCTCCGCCCCTGAAACTGTCAACAAATGAAAAATTCGTCACGATTGATAAGGGCGGGTGGGTGGGGCTTAATTATTCAATATTTCTTTTTCTTAATATGTGTATTTTTTTTTTTAATAACACGATACTTAAGCATTGGGGTCTCCGAAATTGTGTCATAATAATTTAAAATAGACTTCGTGGCCCCCGAAATTGTATCATAATCATTTTAAAATTGACATACGTGGCCTTGAGATTGCCTCAATCTTTTACAATAGACACTTGTGGCCTCGGAAATTGTATCATAATCATTTAAAATTGACACACGTGATCCTCGAAACTGTGTCAAAATCGTTTATAATAAAATACTTGTGGCCCCAGAGATTCCTTCATAATCGTCTTAAAAAGAGTAGAAATTATTTAATAATCTTTTTAATGAAGCAAACAAATATGAATTTTGCAATTAAGCTCCGCCCCTGAAACTGTCAACAAGTGAAAAATTCGTCACGATTGAGAAGGGCGGGTGGGTGGGGCTTAATTATTCAATACTTCTTTGTCTTAATATGTGTATCTTTTTTTTTAATAATACGATACTTAAGCATTGGGGTCTCCGAAATTGTGTCATAATAATTTAAAATGGACTTCGTGGCCCCCGAAATTGTATCATAATCATTTTAAAATTGACATACGTGGCCTTGAGATTGTCTCAATCTTTTACAATAGACACTTGTGGCCTCGGAAATTGTATCATAATCATTTAAAATTGACACACGTGATCCTCGAAATTGTGTCAAAATCATTTACAATAAGACACTTGTGACTCCAGAGATTCCTTCATCATCGCCTTAAAAATTAAACAGATTATTTAATAATCTTTTTAATGAATCAAACAAATATAAATTTTGCAATTAAGCTCCGCCCCTGAAACTGTCAAGAAATGAAAAATTCGTCACGATTGAGAAGGGCGGGTGGGTGGGGCTTAATTATTCAATATTTCTTTTTCTTAATATGTGTATTTTTTTTTTAATAACACGATATTTAAGCATTGGGGTCTCCGAAATTGTGTCATAATAATTTAAAACAGACTTCGTGGCCCCCGAAATTGTATCATAATCATTTTAAAATTGACATACGTGGCTTTGAGATTGTCTCAATCTTTTACAATAGACACTTGTGGCCTCGGAAATTGTATCATAATCATTTAAAATTGACACACGTGATCCTTGAAACTGTGTCAAAATCATTTACAATAAGACACTTGTGACCCCAGAGATTCCTTCATCATCGTCTTAAAAATTAAACAGATTATTTAATAATCTTTTTAATGAATCAAACAAATATAAATTTTGCAATTAAGCTCCGCCCCTGAAACTGTCAACAAATGAAAAATTCGTCACGATTGAGAAGGGTGAGTGGGTGGGGCTTAATTAATCAATATTTCTTTTACTTAATATGTATATAGTTTTCTTTTAACAACACGATGTTTAAAGCATTGGAGCCCCCATAATTTAAATATCTAGAAGTTACCAACAAATTTATTTCATAGATAAATAAATCTTACCATTTTTCCAGAATCTCTTTTAGAAAATTGAATTTTAAGCTGACTATATCTAAAATCTTGCTCTGGTAGCAGAATTTTTTGAAAATGTTGAAATAATTTTTTCAAAACCAAAATTTTTTAACGAAAATTTGGGAATGTTTCGACCACTTTGGAAACTTAACTATAAAGACATCTGCTTGAACATTTCGATCACCAGTAGTTGCTTTCAGCCTCATATTTTCGGTAACTGGTCTCACTTTTCCAGAGTGAATTGTAGAACACATAATTACACAAATAAATCTCTAAAATTTATATACAAGTAATATTATATGAATGTCCTATTTTTTTAGTTTTTCAATAGTGCTCTCTAATAATATCTGAATTACTCATTTAAAATATTAGAAGTCTAAAATTTGAAACGGTAAATTAATGCAAGGGTCGATGTCCCAGTATAATTTTAGCTTCATGTCACTTTAGACTGTTGCGAAAATGACGTCAACTGAGTTTTTCAAAATATGTTATATTTTTTAACTGTCTTAATTTTACACGCTGTAGTTAATGTCCTACATATATTTTAGAAATTTTATGTTAGAAACCGCATGGCTTTTCACACACAAAGAAAGAGAAAAAAATAGAAGACAATGGTGTTTTCTTAAAGATATTCTTCTGATATTTCTTTGTCAAAAATCAGATAACTGGTCTTAAAAAGAACAACGACTGCTATTTGGGTGAATCTTTCTTCACCACAGCATGATAAAAAATTAATCGAAGGAAATTTTCAACAGGATAGGGTTACAGCGCGGGCGCCAGATTTAGTGTTCCTTTCCATATTAATTAATAATAATGATGCAAGCAGTAGCACTTTTTGCTTGTTGTTTATTCGTAACCCGGTTTTGACGTGTGCAGCCTCTGGCGTCGCACGACCTTGCATATATTGCATTTTCCTTCTTCTTAAATAAAAATTAAGTCCTCTAATAATTATAAAAAACGCATTTGTGTCTTCTTTTCAAGAAATTAATTCCTACTTTCTCTAAAAATAACTGCAATTTGTAGCATCTGCTCGTTTTTAATTATTAATACTGTCATTACCATTATGTTGGTAGTTTTCCACGTAAAATAACCCAAGCCAAGGTTGCCTCGAAGATCAATTAATTAATCAGTTATAGTTAGTAATGGACTTCGTCCCAATCGACTATAATTCAAGCGATTGTAATTTGACTACTTCGATTTCAGGTTAACAGTCATTCACATGAATTAACAATAAACAAAGGAAAAACATCGACTCAGTTCGCGTTGAAGTTGTTCAGAATAACGATTAGTTAGGCCTTTGCCTACAGCCAAGAAACATGTCACTGATCCATGACAGGCTACTTTCAGGGGTCCCCAACATTTCGGAATATGCTGGTAAATAATCACTAAATTTTGAAACACGATATACACGTTGTCCACCAGATTCCAGAATCGAGAATTACCCCTTGATGGGTTCTCCGCTCCAAATCACAATCATACTGGCATCCTACGCACTATTTGTCATGAAGACAGGACCAGCTTTCATGAAAAATCGACAACCCATGAAGTTGGATCACGTTATTATGGTATACAACTGGGTTCAAATAATTCTGAACACTGCAGTGTTTCTCATTGTAAGATCGTCGTAATTAGGTTGTAACAAACCCACAGGGCAGAATTTTAGGCGTTGAAAGAATGGAACAATTTTAGCATCGGGTGTTCTCCGATGGATCAAAGCCAGAGTCGTGCAGCTATAAGGATAATGCAACTGCAGTACAGCTACACGTTGCTGAAATTCCTGGATCTTCTGGATACGGTTTTCTTCGTTCTCCGGAAGAAGGACAACCAGGTTACTTTTCTTCACGTGTATCATCATCTGTTGATGGCTGGTTTTGGGTGGGTTGTGTGCAAGTTCTTCGTGGGTGGCCAGATTTATTATGTGGGGATTGCGAATTTACCGGTACATTCGGTGATGTACTTTTACTACTTTCTGACGGCGTGGGATTCCTCGTACAAACGGAGTATTTGGTGGAAGAAACATCTAACGCAGTTTCAAATTGTATGTATTTGGGGATTTTTTTTTTAAATAGTGTATGTTGTTGTAGGTTCAGCATTTCTTTATTTTTACGGTATTTATAATACCGTTTTTGAATCCCAATTGTTCGTATCCAAAGTGGTTGCTGGGGGTCTATTTGATTAATTCACTCATGATGATTTACTTGTTTTCAAAATTTTACGTGGAGAGTTACATCAGGAAGAAGGAAAAAGCACAGTGATAGTGCATTGGATTGTGGTGATTTATTTATTATTTACGATATACATCTGTACATTCTTAGTTGTTCAATAAAAAAATAAGCATTAGCGCCTGTGTTTGTGCGTTAATCGTTAATAAATTCAAGTGATAAGCAAAATACTGCCAAGGATTTATTTAATTTTAATTGATGCACTGAATAAATTAACGTAAAATTGAATCATTATAATAATTATTCTAAGAAATAACAACTATCTAATTATGTATTACAAAAAATATAGTTGTTTGTGTGTAACATACGATGAATAAACAAAACAAACAAGAAAAAAAACGATTGTCAGAAGTGGGATTCGAACCCACGCCCACAGAGTGGACCAGAACGCTCATTCTACCTGATGTACAGGCAAGGAAACCTTGAGTCTGGCGCCTTAGACCGCTCGGCCATCCTGACATATCTACAACCTGTCTCCACTCACTTTTAAACGACACATATTGCTATAAATAGTAGGAGTAGCGATTTTTTCATTTCGATAAATATTAACAAAAGATTAGATAAATTATCTCTAGTCTAATTTGTTTATCTGTTATTGTTCATAAATAGCCTCCGTAATTACTTATTATTATCTGTTACCAATTTACCTAACACCTAATTTATGGCGCAGTTTTAGTTCCCCAGCTGTTCTGAAATTTAAAAATATAAATTCAAGTACACAGATTGTACTTGAATAGTTTTCTTTTCTATTTTTTTTTCGCAATAAAAAAAACATTAACAATAATTAAAGGAAACTTAACGAACTGTTTCTGTTTTTTGTTAAAATTTTAATGTCATTTGTTTTAACAAGTTGAAAATGAAAACAGAAGTGTTCGAAACACGTTCTTGTGTTAATGAAATACCAAATTCGTAAATGTGGAGTTTGACTTCAAACCATTAAAAAATTTCAGCAACAAAATTGCTCGTTTTTAAAAAATGAAATCAGTGGCCCATGAAATTCTTTAAAATTTTCAGAAACACAACACCAGGAATCCCCAACAGTCTTTCAAATTTAAAAAAAAAATAAAACCAGTGAACCTCGAGATTCTTACAAATTATTCAAAAATTAAACACCAGGAGCTCCGGAGATTTTTTAAATAAAAAAAATAATCAGAGGCTTTCGAGATTTTTTAAATTCTTTATAAAATAAACCGCAAGAAACCCCCAAAGATTCCTCCAAATTTTTCGTAAAATAAGACCAGGAGCCTATGATATTTTTTCAAATTCTTTAAAAAATAAAACACCAGGGGCCTTCAAGGTTCTTTCAAATTCTTTAAAAATTAACCACCAGAACCCAGGAATTTTTTTAAAATTAAAAAAAAAATAAAAGACTAAGGGTTTTTAAGATTCTTTAAATTTGTCAAAAAGAAAACACCAGGACCCTCCAGATTTAAAAAAAAAAAAAAAATAAAGCAATAGGGGTCTCCGAGACTTCCAAATTAAAAAAAAAAGAGTCTCCGAGATTCTTTCAGATTTTTAAAAAATAAAACTAATGAACCTCGAGATTTGTTCAAATTCTTTCAAAATTAAACCAAAAGGATCCCCAGGGGATTGCTTAAAATTAAATAAGACTAGGAGCGCATAAGTTTCTTTAAATTTAAAACAAAAAAATGGAGCAACAGAAATTCTTTAAATTTTTTTTAATGAAATCAGTGGCTCTCGAGAATCTTTCAAACCCTTTAAAAATTAAACACCAGGAGCACCAGATTCTTTAAGATTAAAAAAAAAAAAGACCAGGAGCCTCCAAGACTACTTATTTATTTATTGTTTTTAAAACCGGAGCCTCCGATTTTTTTTTCAGATTCTTTAAAAAATTAAACACGGGGAGCCCCAGACATTCTCTCAAATTCTTTGAAAATAAAATACCAATAGATCCAAGATTCTTTAAATTTTTCAAAAACAACACCAGGAATCCCGAGATTCTTTGAAATTTTCAAAAATGGAACACTAGGGCCCCCACAGACGTTCAAATTAAAAAAAAATGAAACAACAAGTGCTTCCAAGATTCTTTAAATTTATCAAAAACAAAACACCAGGAATTCCCGAGATTTTTTCAAATTTTTAAAAATAAAACACGAGGGGTCCCCGAGATTATCAAAATCTTTAAAAAGTAAAAAAGGCCAAGAGTGCCCGGGATTCCTTAAAATTTTTAAAAAATTAAACACCAGAAGAGGTTATTTTCTTTTTCAATAAAACCATATGCTCCGATATTCTTTCAGATTATTTAAAAATAAAACACCGAGAGCCCCAGATTTTTTCAAATTCTTAAAATGTAAAACACCAAGAGCTTTCAATATTCTTTAAATTTTCAAAAATTAAACACTAGAAGCCTTCGAGATTCTTTCGAATGGTTAAAAAAATGCACCACAGGCTCCCGAGATATTTTAAAGTTTTTAAATTATCAGGAGAGCCTGAGATTCTTTCAAATTCTTTCAAAAATAGAACACTTGGGGTCTCCGAAACTTTCAAATTAAAAAAAATATGACCAGTGAACCTCGAGATTTTCACAAATTCTTTAAAAATTAAACATCAGGAGCTCCGGAGATGTTTTCAAATAAAAATAAAATTAGGGACTTTCGAGATTTTTTAAATTCTTTATAAAATAAATCACAAGGACCCCCAAAGACTGCTCCAAATTTTTCGTTAAATAAGACCAGGAGCCCCCGAGATTCTTTCAAATTTTACAAAAATAAAACACTAGGAGTCTCCGAGATTTTTTTTTAAGTAAAATCAGGGCCCCCGATATTCTTTCAGAATCTTTAAAAATTAAATACCAGGAGCTCCGAAGAGTCTTTCAAATAAAAAAAAATGTGAACATCAAGGACTTGCGAGATTCTTTAAATTCTTTAAAAAATAAAACACCAAGAGCCCTGGAGATTCTTTCAAATTCTTTAAAAAGTAAACATCAAGAACCCCGGAGATTCTTTCAAGTTTTCAAAAAATAAAACACCAGGAGCCTCAGAGATTATTTTTTTAGTAAAACCAGCAGCCCCCGAGATTCCTTCAAATTTTTAAAATATAAAACACCATGAACTTCGAAGATTTTTTAAATTTGTCAAAATCAAAACACCAAGAAATCCACGAGATTCTTTCAAATTTTTAAAAAATAAAACCATTGAACCTCAAGGTTTTTTCAAATTCTTTAAAAATTAAACCACAAGGGGTACCACAGCATCCAATCAAATTTTTAGTTAAATAAGACTAAGAGCTTCTGAGGTTCTTTCAAATTATTAAACTAAAATTATTTTGTTTTTTAGTAAAACCAAGTGCTCTGATATTCTTTCAGACTCTTTAAAATAAAACACCGGGAGCCCCCAGATTTTTTCAAATTCTTAAAATATAAAACACCAATAGCTTTCAATATTTTTTAAATTTTCAAAAACAAAACACCAGAGGGCCCCGAGATTCTTTAGAATTGTTAAAAAAATCAGCACAGGTAAAACACTAGGGCCTCCGAGACCTTCAAATTTTTAAAAAATGAAACCAGTGAACCTCCAGATTTTTACAAATTCTTTAAAAATTAAACACCAAGAGTCCTGGAGGTTCTTTCAAATTCTTTACAAACTAAACAGCAAGAGCCCTAGAGATTCTTCAAAATTTTTAACAAACTAATCACCAGGAGCCTCAGAGATGATTTTTTTTAGTAAAATCGAGATTCCTACAAATTTTTAAAATATAAAACACCAAGGGCTTGCAAGATTTTTTAAATTTGTCAAAATCGAAACACCAGGAATCCCCGAGATTCTTAAAAAAACTTTTAAAAATAAAGCCAGTGAATCTCGAGATTTTTTCTAATTCTTTAAAACAGGAGCCCCGATTTTCTTTTTTAGTAAAATCAGGTGCCCCGATATTCCTTCAGATTCTTTAACACCGGAAGCCCCCAACTTTTTTCAAATTCTTAAAATAAAAAAGAGCTTTCAGAATTCTTTAAATTAAACCATAAGGGGCCCTAAAGTATTCTTTCAAATAAGTTAAATAAGCCTAGGAGCCTCTAAGATTCTTTTAAATTTTTAGAAAATAAAACACCACGAGCTTCCAAAATTATTTTCTTTTTTAGCAAAACCAGGTGCCCGATATTCTTTTAGATTCTTTAAAAATAAAACACCCGAAGCCCCCAGATTTTTTGAAATTCTTAAAATATAAAACACCAAGAGCTTTCAATATTCTTTAAATTTTCAAAAACCAAATACTGGAGGTCTCCGAGACTCTTTCGAATTTAAAAAAAAATCACCAGTACCCTTCGGAATTCTTTTAAGTTTTTAAAACAACGGGAGAGTCAGAGATTCTTTCAAATTCTTTCAAAAATAAAACATTAGCAGCCCCTGAGATTCTGTCAAATTCTTAAAACGCTAAGGGCCTCCGAAATTTCTTCGAATTGTTAAAAAAACACCAAAGTGCCCCGGGATTGCTTTAAGTTTTTAGAAAAAAAATTAAAACTCCGAGGGCTTTTTGAAAAACATCAGGGGTTTTGGGGATTTTTGTACATTTTTAACAATAAAACACCGGGATCCTTCCAGGTTCTTTCGAATTCTTCACAAAATAAATCATCATCAGCAATTGCGATGGTTTCCATTTTTTTTTTTAAATACGGCTTCGAAGATTTTTAAAATTTTTGGAAACTGTTACAGTAAGGCAAATATCGTTGTCAAATACTTCTTCATCACAATGACAAAAAAACCCTCGCGTGTTGAAAGTTGCAAAACACCTTTTGTGCAAGTAACAAATACAAAATTTTGAATAATTTTTGAAATTCGACGTGACAAAAACCATAAAATGCAGATTTGAAATAATGAATATTCAAGAAATGATAAATTCGATTTAATATGAAAATTTGCTGACATTGTAATAACATTATGCGTTATCCGCTAATAAATTCAAGTGATAAGCAAAAACAGCAAAGGAATTTGCAATTTGAATCGCAAATGCTTTAGTGCATTATAATTGAAATTTTTGTATTGCAATTGGGACCATACGCTACAGGAAATACGGGTCACGACACCTGGAAAATGAAAATCATCATCTGTCTACTCATTTTTGTAGAATAATTAGTGAAATAAACCGAAAAAGTCGAATCATTACACTGATTATTATACAAAGTAAAACTTATTTATGTGTGGATAAAATATAAGTAATAAAAAAACGAAAAAAAATATTATGTCAGAAGTGGGATTCGAACCCACGCCCACAGAGTGGACCAGAACGCTCATTTAACCTGGGTTCAGGCAAGGAAACCTTGAGTCTGGCGCCTTAGACCGCTCGGCCATCCTGACATATCTACAACCTATAGCCACACGCTTTTAAACAACACAGACTGCTATAAATAGTAATGATTTTTTCATTTCGATAAACATTAACAGAAGATTAGATAAATCATCTTGTCTCATTTGTTTATCTTCTATTGTTTATACATTACCTCCGTAAATACTTATATATATGAACCCAGTTGCCTGACTTCAAAGTTATAAAATACGACAACAATATTTCTTTAAACGTGTACCTAGTTAGATAAAGTAAGAGTGTTCGGATGACAAGACGTAGCACAATTAAACATTAACAGTTAAACTAAACAACGAGCGACAGGTTGGGGCCACCTCTGGTGACAAATAGAAGGCGAGATCGTTGTTCAGAGGATGTGGTCTCTTTCAAAATTGGTAGTGGGGACGAGTACGCAGCGTTACTACCTTGCTAGAAAAAGAAAGAGTGTTTGGACGACAAGACTAGCACTGTTTATTTTAATTTTTAATGTTCTCATTATCATAGTCTTGGCCAATAATGAACGTTTGTTTGTTTCGATTCTTGGTTGACTAATTATCCACATGAATTAATAACAAACAAAAGAAAACAATCAATTCAGTTCATTAATTTCTTTATGTTAAACTGGCTCAGTATGAATGGTTATTAGTTAAGTCGTGGGCTAGAGCGAATGAACATGTCTCTGATACACGATAAGTTACTTTTTGGGGTTCCCAATATTTCGGCATATGCAGGTAAATTATTGATACTTGTTGCAACACGACACACATGTATTTCTTTCCAGATCCCAGATTGGAGAATTATCCTTTGATGGGTTCTCCATTCCAAATTATAATGATACTAACAACTTACGTAGTATTTGTTAAGAAGACTGGACCAGCGTTAATGAAAGATCGTCCACCCATGAAGCTGGACAAAGTTATTATGGTGTACAACTGGGTCCAAATAATACTGAACACTGCTGTGTTTCTGATTGTAAGATTCTTCTAATTGGATTGTAGCAAACCCATAAAACAGAGTTCTAGGCAATAGTAGAATGGAACAATTTTAGCTTCGTCTGTTCTCCAATGGATCAAAGCCACAATCGTCTAGCTATAAAGATAATGCAACTACAGTACAGCTACACGTTGCTGAAATTCTTGGATCTTCTAGACACGGTTTTCTTCGTTCTTCGGAAGAAAGACAACCAGGTTACTTTTCTTCATCTGTATCATCATCTATTGATGGCTAGTTTTGGGTGGGTTGGGTGTAAGTTCTTCGCAGGTGGCCAGGTTTATTATCTGGGGATTGTCAATTTACCAGTGCATTCGGTGATGTACTTTTACTATTTTCTAACGGCTTGGGATTCTTCTTACAAGCAGAGCATCTGGTGGAAGAAGCATCTGACCCAGCTTCAAATAGTAAGAATCTAGTATTTTATTATGTTTTTTAATACTCGTATTATAATTTTGTCGTAGGTTCAGCACCTGTTTGTTTTTACGGCATTTCTAATACCATTTTTGAACCCCAATTGTTCCTACCCAAAAACACTGCTGGGGGTGTACTTAATCAACGCAGTTGTGATGATCTACTTGTTTTCTAAATTTTACGTCAAGACTTACATTAAGAAGAAGGAAAAAGCGCAGTAAGATTGTATTGGGCTGAATTGTGTTGATTTTTATTTATTATTTGCGATAGACGTCTGTACATTTTTAGTTGTTCAATGAAAAATTAAACACAGTTCCAGTGTTTTGTGAATTATGTTCCCATGTTTTTTCACCATATTTTTAAGTCGTGTTTTCCACGTAAATCAGTGACATTGGCAATGACAAGTGTGTCCGTTATGCGTTAATATATTTAAATTGAAAACGAAATACCGCAAATACCGATTGTTATTTAAATCGGTAATGTTATTGTGTATTGTAATTTAAAATTTCGCTCATACTATTTATACCACAAGCAAATTTCGATTTCAAATCCATTATTCGGGTCGCAGATAGCTAAAAAGCACAAATATTTGTTAAAATATGAACAATTTTTCTTATATATGCACAGTTTTATGCAAATATGCAATTTTACATAAAGCATAAGTACGCTATAAACTTCACTTTGTTGTTGTTACAATTAACAATCTGATGTTTTTTCAAATTTTCCATTGTTAAATAGTGTCTTCTATGTGTCAGAAGAAAAACTTCTTTCTTTGAAAAATTACACAATTTGATTTTTGTTTTGTACTTCTATAAAGTAATAATCAGTAATAGAAAAATTTTCCGGAAATTCGAAAAATCGACAGGAATTAAAAAATTGAGAAATCGAAAAATAAAAGATTGAAAAGTCTAAAAACTGAAGAATATAAAAACTGAGATATCGAAAATTCGAAAAAACAAAAACTGAAAAGTAGAAAGTTTGAAAATTGGATAATCGAAAATCGAAAACTCGACAAATCAAAAATCGAAAAGTAAACTAATTGAAAAATCTAAAAACTGGAAAATGGACAAATTAAAATCGAAAAGTAAAAAAAAAGTTAAGTCTAAAAACTGAAGAAGAAAAAACTGAAAAATTAAAAGTTCAAAAAGTCAGAAACTGAAAAACTAATAATTTAAAAATTGAAAAATTTAAAAATTGAAAAATCGAGACACCGAAAAGGAAACCAGTAGAAAATTAGAATATTGAAAAATGAAAAATTCCATGACTGAATGTTTGTACATTCGAAAAAACGAAAATCCGAGAAATCAGAACATCAAAAATTCGAAAATCTGGAAATCGAAAAAAACGAAAAATTTAAAATTAACATATTGAAAAATTAAAAAATCTGAAAATGGTGACATTCCTAAAATTGAAGAGCTGAAAATTTGAAAAATCAAAAACTTAAATAAAATTAAAAATCGTAAAATCCAAAAATTGAAAAATCGAAAAATGTAACATTAAAAAATTCAAAAATCAAAAAATCGGAAACTGGAAGAGCAGAAAAACTGAGAAATTTGAAAAATCAAAAGATCGAACAGTTGGAAAATTGAAATATCGAGAAATCGAATCAACAAAACATTGAGAAATCGAAAAAACGAGACAGTCGGAAAATTGAAAAATCGAGACATCGAATTAAGTATCTAGCCCAAAAACCGGAAAATCGAACAATCGAAACATCGAAATCTCGATACATTCAGAAATCGAAAAATTGATAAAACTGAAAAATCGAAAAACTGAAAAATCCCAAAAGCAGAACATCAAAAAATTCAGATACCGAAAAATTGGAAAATTGAAAAATGTAAAAATCGAAACATCTAAAAACCGAAAAATCTAAAAGTTGAGAAGTCGAAAAATCAAGCAATTGAGAAATTTTAAAAATCAAAAAGATCAGTTAATTAAAAATTTAGAAACGCCAAAAATTGAAGTAATGAGAAGTCAGAAAATTTAAAAAGCGAAAAATTGAAAAATCCTAAAAATCCAAAAATCGTAGAATTAAAAAATTGAAAAAATTCAGAAACCGAAAAGGAAACAAATTGAAAATTAGAATACCATCGAAAAATCGAAAATTCGATGAAACAAATATTTGAAAAAACGAAATTCCGAGAAATCGGAAAACGAAAGTCCGAAAACTGAAGATCGAAAAATCGAAAAATCAAAAATTCTAAAATCTAGATTTCGAAAAGTCAGAAAATCCAAGAATCAATATGGGGAAATCAACATATCGAAAGTACAAAAATCGAAAAATCTAAAATCGAAAACTTGAAAAGTCCAAAAGCGGGAAAATTGAAAAATCGGAAAATCGAAATTAAAAAAAATTTGGATATCGAAAAATTGAGAAATCGAAAAACCTAGAAACCGAGAACTGAGAAGTCGAAAAATCTAAAACTACATAAAATATCGAAAAACTGAAAAATCGAGAAATCGAAAAATCCCAAAACTGAAATGTAGAAAACTTGGGAAAACGAAAAATTGAAAAATCGAAACATCAAAAAATTGAAAAATTCAAGAAGCAAAAAATCGGAAACTCGAAGAGCAGAAAAGCTGAAAAATCGAAAAACTGAAAAATTTGAAAAATCTAAACACCGAACAGTTGGAAAATTGAAATATCGGGAAATCGAATCAGCAAAACATCGAGAAATCGAAAAATCGAGACAGTCGCAAAATTGAAAAATCGAGACATCGAATTAAGTATGTAGCCGAAAACCGGAAAATCGAAACATCGAAATCTCGAAAAATTACGAAATCGAAAAATTGATAAAATTGAAAAATCAAAAAGCTGAAAAATCCCAAAAGGAAAACATCAAAAAATTCAGTTACCGAAAAATTGAAAAATCGAAAAATGGAAAAATTGAAATATCGAAAAACCGAAAAATCTAAAAGTCGAGAAGTCCAAAAATCAAGCAATTGAAAAATTTTAAAAATTAAAAAATCAATTAATTAAAAATTTAGAAACGCCAAAAATTGAAGTAATGAGAGAAGAATTTTAAAAAGCGAAAAATTGAAAAATCCTAAAATTCCAAAAATCAGAAATTGAAAGATCGATAATTTAAAAATTGTAGAATTAAAAAATTGAAAAAATCTAGAAACTGAAGAGGAAACAAATTGAAAATTAGAATACCATCGAAAAATATTTGAAAAAACGAAAATCCGAGAAATCGGAAAACGAAAATTCGAAAACTGAAAATCGAAAAACCGAAAAATCAAAAATTCTAAAATCTAGATGTCGAAAAATCGGAAAATCCAAGAATCAATATGGAGAAATCGACATATGGAAGGTAGAAAAATCGAAGATTCTAAAATCGAAAAACTGAAAAGTCGAAAAACGGGAAAATTGAAAAATCGGGAAACCTAAATTAAAAAAATTTGAATATCGAAAAACTGAGAAATCTAAAAATCTAGAAACCGAGAATTGAGAAGTCCAAAAATCTAAAACTAAAATATTGAAAAACTGAAAAATCGAGAAATTGAAAAATCCCACTACTGAAATGTAGAACACTTGGGAAAACGAAACATTGAAAAATCGAAACATCAAAAAATTGAAAAATTCAAGAAGCAAAAAATCGGAAACTCGAAGAGCAGAAAAGCTGAAAAATCGAAAAACTGAAAAATTTGAAAAATCTAAACACCGAACAGTTGGAAAATTGAAATATCGGGAAATCGAATCAGCAAAACATCGAGAAATCGAAAAATCGAGACGGTCGTAAAATTGAAAAATCGAAACATCGAAATAAGTATGTTGCCCAAAACCGGAAAATCGGAAAACGAAACATCGAAATCTCGATAAATTGAGAAATCGAAAAATTGATAAAACTGAAAAATCCCAAAAGCAAACCATCAAAAACTTCAGATACCGAAAAATTGAAAAGTCGAAAAATCGAAGTTGAGAAACCGAAACATCGAGAAATGGGAAAATAGGAATATTGAAAAATCGAAAAATCTAAAAGTCGAGAAGTCAAAAGATTTAAAAAGCGAAAAACTGAAAAATCCTAAAATTCCAAAAATCAGGAATCTAAAAATTGATAATTTAAAAATCGTAGAATTAAAATGTTGAAAAATCCAGAAACCGAAAAGGAAACGAATTGAAAATTAGAATACCATCGAAAAATCGAAAATTCGATGAAACAAATATTTGAAAAAACGAAAGTCCGTGAAATCGGAAAACGGAAATTCGAAAATCTGAAAATCGAAAAACCAAAAAATCAAAAATTCTAAAATCTAGATTTCGAAAAATCGAAAAAGCCAAGAATTAATATAAATAAATCGAAGAAAAGCTAAAGAATCGGCATATCGAAGTAGAAAAATTGCAAATTGTAAAATTGAAAAGTCGAAAAACGTGACAATTGAAAAATTGGGAAATCGAAATTAAAAAAATTAGAATATTGAAAAATGGAAAACTTGAAAAATTGAAAAATGAAAAATTCGAATTTATCAAAATTTGAAAATCGAAAAGCCGAAAAGCCGAAAAACTGAGAAATCGAAAATCCTAGAAACCGAGAATAGAAGGTGAAAAATCGACAAAGCGAAAAATCAAAAATTAAAAAATCGAAAATTTGAAGAATCAAAAACTTGAAATCTGAAAAATTAAAAAATCGTAAATTCCCAAAATTAAAAAATTGAAAAATGTACAATTAGAAGACGAAAATTCGAAGAATCGAAAAATTGAAAAATCCCAAAGCTAAAGTGTAAAAAACTTGCAAAAACGAAAAATTGAAAAATCGCATCAAAAAATTTAAAAATTCAAAAGTCGAAGAATCGCAAACTCGTAGAGCCAAAAATTTGAAAAACCAAAACATCGAACAATTAGAAAATCCAAATATCGGGACATCGAAAAGTCGAAAAATTCAAAAATCGAGACATCGAAATAAGTATATAGCCCAAAACCGAAAAATCGAAAAATCGAAAAATTAAAATTTAAAAAATTGAAATATTTAAATTTAACAAAATCGGAAAATCGAATAACATCAAAAAACTTAGTACCGAAAAATCTATTGATTAAAAATTTAAAAACATCAAAAATTGAAATAAGGAGAAGTCAAAAAATTGAAAAATCGAAAAATTGAAAGATCCTAAAATTCAAATATGGTAAAATAAATCCAAACACAAAAAATGGAGAAATCGAAAATTTGAAAAACTGAGAAATAGAAAAATCAAAACATCTAATGGGAAATTGAAATATTGAGAAAACGATCCATCAGAAAATCGGGAAATCAAAATGTCGAGATGTCGAATAACTGAAAAATCAAGAAATTTAAAAATCAAAAAATCGAAATAAGTCAATGTGTAGCCCCAAATCGAAAAATTGAAACATTATAATTTGAAAAATTGAAATATTTACGTAAAAATCAGTAAGTGTAAAACACGAACAATTGAAAAATCATAAAAACGAGAAGTCGAAACATCTAAAATTTAAGGGATCAAAAAAATAAAATATTAAAAAACTAAAAAATGGATAAATTTAAAAATCCCAAATCTCAAATATCGAAAAGTTAATCAACCCGTGAATGGAACAACTGAAAAATCGAAGAAAAGCTAAAGAATCGAAAAACTGAAAAATTCCAAAAATAAAACATCGAAAAACTGAGATATTGAAAATCGAAAAGTCGAAAAATTGGGACACTGAGAAGTCGAGAAACTAAAACGTCGAAAAATAGAGATATAGTGAAAGCGGAATATCAAAATATCGAAAAATCGAAACATCTAAAATTGAGAAGTTGAAAAATCGATTAATGGAAAATTCGAAAATTTAGAAACGCCAAAAATTTAAATATGAAAAAAAAAATTAAAATCGAAAAATTGAAAACTGAAATATCGAGAAATTGAGAAATCGAACCTTGAAAAATCGAGAAATTGAAACATTGAAGAGCCGAAAAATTAAAAATATCAAAAGTTGAGAATACGAAAAACTGTACAATTTTGATTTTTTTTTCCAAAAAACTCGAAGTTTAGGATTAATATTAAATTCATGTTACTGTTCAACATTTAAGTAACATTTATTCGACAATATTGTAAGAGGGTGTCAATTCTTGGGGGTGTGTTGTGGGGCTTCATGAACGATTAAATCAATTTTGATTAACGATTTACGATAATCTTAAAGCGTTTTCTTGATTTCATGGTATTTCAAAGTTAAATTGGAAAATGTTACACAATTTTGATTCTTTCTCAAAAAGTCTGTATAAAACTCAACACGGATTCATAAACCACAAGTGCAGGAGCACGATAATCCTAACACATATATAAAATTTGACAATAATTAGTCCAGTCGTTTCGGAAATTTTGTCTAATAAAATTCCGGGCAAACTGCAGTCAGATAGACAGACAGACAGACGGAAACGGGGTACTTATTTGTCGTACTCTAGCATTAAAACAGTCGTATTAAAAAATATGCCATACAAGTTTTAAAAAAGCACTTATCGTTTTCCCACATGGTGTGCAGAAAATATTTTCGTTAGTTGAAATAAGTTGAGGATAATCTTTTATCGATGAATTTATTTAAGTTGGCCTTGTTTAAAGTCTAGTTATGAATGAATTAGAAACTTTTTGACTTAAGACAAACTACTCTTATAAATAAAACTGCAACAAAAAAAATCAACCTTGCCTTTAGATGGGTAGGTACCCCATAATTCAGTTGCAAACTCAAACATTTAACACGAAACAGACTAGACCGGAGTAGTGCTTTAACTGTATGCTACAGAAAACTTCTTTTGCAAATTAAACAATGAATGTGCATTCCGACGTCCGTCAGTCAGTCAGTCAATAACAGAACGCACAACAATGCATTGTCACACTAAATTTTAATTTTAAATAAAGAAAAATACGAAGACAATACTTAGCGCTGAGTCAAAGTTCCTCTAGCATATTTGTCAGTAAAGCGTGCGTTTAGCACAAATGTCAGTTTAGTCGCAGAAATGGCGATTTTGCTAGAGAAACTAATTTCAGGATATCGCGAATTTTTAACATGGGGAGGTAAGTGAAACTCGACACATTTCTATCACTAAACGAAAATTTCAGATCCACGAGTGGCACATCTGCCCTTAATGGGGTCACCCATACCACTCTTGATCATTCTAGTGGCCTACGTTTTCTTCGTTTTCGAAATTGGACCTCATATTATGCAACACAGGGAACCTTTTAACATCAAAATAGTGATTATGGTTTATAACGTATTGCAGATAATTTTAAACGGTATAGGATTTGTTATGGTAATTTTTTGTGTGTGGGAATGGTCAAAATGATGTCTGGGTACTTTTTAGACAATGTATTGGCTGCCGGAAGTGAATGTATTGTGCACACCTTTGACAAAACCCGACCTTGCGTTCACCCATTACTTGTACTTTTTACTTAAAGGTATGGATCTTTTTGACACGGTACTTTTATCGTCTACGGCTGATACAGCAGTACTCATTTATACATTGTAGGTTTTCTTCGTTTTACGGAAAAAATACAGCCATATTTCTTTTTTGCATTTGTACCATCACATAATAATGCTTGTTGGGTCTTGGGTCACTTGCAAATATTTTCCAGGAGGCCAACTTTTCGTCGTTGGGATGCTCAACACTTTTGTCCATGTGGTAATGTACATCTATTACTTTTTGATGTCGTGGGACCCCACATATAAGAACATTATGTGGTGGAAACGCTACCTCACGCAATTACAAATCGTAAGCTAAAATATTATTTCTCGCAACGGAAAAAAATGTTGGTTGTAGATGCAGCACTGTATGGTTTTTTTCGCATTTTTGGCGGCTATCTTAAACCCGAACTGTACTTACCCAAGGGGTGTATTACTGGTTTATTTGCCTGGAAACGTGCTGATGATTTATCTCTTCGTGGATTTTTATGCCAAAACTTACCCAAAACGAGTACTCGAAGCAAAACAACACTGAAGATTCTGTATTTACTTTCCTGTTTCTAGTTAGTAAAAGTCAAATATACGTTCGAACTTTCACAACTACTATGTGTCGCTAAAATTCGCCGGGTCATTATTTATTAAATCTGAAAAGTTGTTGACATTAGGAGCCATCTTGCCGCCTACCCACTTAATCATCATTAGCTTTATAAGTTTGATCTTTAGCTCGGAAAGTACGCAGTAATAGGATCAGGGACTTGAATAAAATATCACACGTCAAACAAATTGGTTACAATCTTTGCCAGAAGTTTACTATTTGGCTTTTGATGATGAATGGAATTTAGCTGGAGCAAACACGGATCGATATTTCATAAATGCAATTCCACTTCGGAATAGCACAATCAGGGCTTGTTTCAGCAAAAAATTAAATTATTGCCGCGCTAACGCTGTTACCGAACTGCAATAATGGTTTTTTCGGGCAAAAATCGCTACAGAGTGCAGTCTTCGCGAGATAATTAAATCTAAATGGCATGGAACGCTCCGACGGGAACGATATGTTTTCGCGGCGGGATGCTCGATAAATTGCATTCTTTGGAAAACGCCGGGAATGGGACTTTGAAGACATATTTATTATGTTTTTCAGAATTCTTGTAGCTTGGTTTTTAATGTACCCTACTTTAATCACTCCGCCACTGTCTATGATTCGTACACAAGATTGTGTCTGATTTCTGGCGAGTTCTCCCATTTGAAAATGTTCCGATCAACATTGCTTCAGCAATGACAGGCATGTCAATTTCGACCCGTGCAGTGTAAGTTTTTGAGATTTTATCAATGAAAAAAATTGGTCTCATGTTATTAGATAAAACTTCCATCACCTCTGAAGTACTGAACAAGTCCAGTTTTTAGAAAAAAAAAAAAAATATAATAGGAGACAAAAGATTTTGAATTTTGGATGTCAAAGGTAAAAGGTAAATTGAAGTATTAAAAAATTAATAATCGGGAAATCGACATATCAAAAATTGTCCAACGCAGTCTCATCCTCGAGATAACAACCAGGTAGCTTCCCTTGTGATGAGCGAAACCACAATTTTCAGAGAGGATGCACAAAACAGACATGCGCAGCCCCTCCATACTCCGTACCGGCACATTCCAGACCATTCGCTTTCTTGTGCTCACAGCGGAACCACCTTCCTCGTTTTTCTTGTTTCTTAATTTGTGATTCCAGGGACCTACTGGTAAGTAATTCATTTTTGAAATACGTCCTTAGGCCCCCTTAGCTCTCGACCATACAAAATGGGAAAAATCACGGAAAAGAACACCTTCTCGTGATTCCTCTCCCGAATCAGTGCGAGAGCACCACCTCGAACGTCGCATAAAACGCCTTGAAGCAGCATTACGTCATCATTCCAGTCGAGACATCCGGCGTTCGCATTCTTGCCGACGTCAGATCAGTCGTCTTCTCGGCATTCCAGTCCGGGCGCTGATTCATTGCACCGGCCACAGAGCCGTACTCGGCGTCAAGCCAATTTGACGCCACCCTCGTGTAGCGGGCGCTCCACCTCGAGAGATGTTCGCGGCACATCTCGATGCCCGACGTCATCTCCGGTCATTGTAACCGCGGAGCTCCAGCCAGAGGTTCCTTCGGAGGTACTCGACTGCAACGACGTGGCCTTGGAAAACGAAATATTGGAGCTGCTGGGAGCAGATCCGACTATTCCAGCGGCGTTCGTATTCCGTCTGCATTCGGCATTGGCGTCCCGTTGGTCGTATGCCTTGGCCCATGGCATGTCCAGTTCTGAAAAAACAGAAGCCCGAGAAAAATACCCGATTCCGGTCAATTGTCCACCACTAAAGGCCCCTCAGTTAAACGCCGAGATCACCCCGGCTTTGGGGGAATCCCTTCTCAAGAAGGATAAATTTGCCCAGACTTTACAAACTCAGTTGGGTTTGGTTTTAACGCCACTGGCTGTTGCTATTAATCACTATCTTAGCTCCGACGAGACAACTGACGCGGGACGTACCACCATCTTGCCGCTTTTATTCGATGCGGGTCGGCTATTGACTGACTTATTTTTTCCAAATGTCTAGATCCCGTCGATACAATATTGCTCAGAACCTAAATCGTTCCGTTACGGACACCCTACAAAACGACACCCCGGGCGAATATCTCTTTGGAGCTGACTTGGGCGAACGTATCAAGACGGCTAAAGCCGTTCAAAAATCCAGTCAGGACTTACAACCTGCTAGTACCTACTTCGGGTCGGCCACCGTTTCCCAAGTACCGCAAAGTCGCCTCGACGCCGTCGACTTCCAGAACTTCTTTAAACAGGCAAGGCCCGCTTCGCCCTCGGGAGCAGCGAACCGGGCCGAGCATCTCCAGACCCTGACCAACCAGGAGCCAGCCGTCCAGCGACCGACGACGCAGTTACTGACAGGACACTTATCCCCCCAAACGCCAGTAGAGGTGGGTTGTGCAGGGCGACTCCGGTTTTTTCTAAGTTCGTGGCAGGCTGTCACTACTGTCCCGGTTGTTCTCGAATGGATACAGGGACTAGGAATTCCCTTTACACATACCCCGTTTCAGCCAAAGCCTCCCCCTTTTATCTTCTTTAAAACGGGACCAAGAGTTAAAAATGCAGCTGGCTTTTGCGACACTACTTGCCCAAGGTGCAATCCGTCCTTGTCGACCTTGCAAAGCTCAATTTTTGTCTTCGTATTTTTTGGTTCAAAAACCAGATGGTGATTCCCGATTCATTCTTAATCTTAAAGAATTGATCAAGTTCCTTGAACCTCCTCACTTTAAAATGGAGGACATTCGTACAGTTACAAAGCTAACTAAGCCCGACTCATGGTTTACAACCATCGATTTAAAAAACGCCTATTTCTTAATTTCAGTGGCTCAACCTTATCAGAAGTATTTGCGGTTCCAACAAAATAATGTATTGTATGAGTTCACTTGCCTACCGTTTGGGCTCTCAGTAGCCCCCTATATTTTCACCAAGATTATGAAACCTGTCCTACGGAGCTTACGCACTAATGGGATCCTCTGCGTTAATTATTTAGATGATTTCTTAATTATTGCCCAAACAAAGCTGAATTGTACTTCAAAAACATCTTATACGATCAGGTTACTCGAATCATTGGGATTTCTAGTTAATTGGTCGAAGAGTGTTATCGTTCCTAGTCAACAAGTGAAGTTTCTAGGGTTTCAGCTATGTTCACAGAGTATGACCCTTAGTCTACCTCGTCTCAAACAGAATCGTCTCCGAGAAATAATACACTAAACCATTAGAACGAGACAAACTTTTAGCCCTGCGATCGCCTTCTTACCATTATGGGGCAAAAATGCAACTCTCCCCAACTACTGATAGTTGTCGGGCGGGGGGGGGAGGGGGGTCATATTGTGAAGGTGAACGCACCAACGGATGGTGGCTGTTAGAGGTTTCCAGTGACCATATTAATGTCTTAGAACTTCGAGCCATTTTTTATGGTTTTCAGAGTTAACGCAATCTTCCATCACTGTCTTAATTCGTTCAGACAATTCCACGGCGATTTCCTATATCCACCGGATGGGCAGTCTGCAGCATCCTACATTAACTCATTTAGCTCGTACTATTTGGCAGTGGTGTGAAAAACGGGATATCTGGTTGTATGCCTCTTACGTTAGTTCAGCGAGTAACTACTTGGCCGATTTTGAATCTCGCAGGTTACCCGATGACACAGAATGGTCGCTATCCTCCTCAGCATTCACTCAGATTATCACAAAATATGGCCCTCCAGAACTTGACCTCTTCGCCTCATACGGGAACGCAAAATGACGTACCTACATTTCCTGGCGCCCTGATCTCGAATCTGTGGCTGTCGATGGATTCACTATCTCGTGATCAAACCACAGATTTTACGCTTTTCCTCCTTTTAGTTTGATTTTACGGGCCTTAAACAAAGTTATTCGTGATAAAGCTGAAGGTATTGTGGTAGTACCCCAATGGCCTGTACAACCTTGGTACCCACTTTTTGAGGGAGAACCTTTAATACTCGATTCTGACCCTCTCTTACTGATTTCTCCTTACAGCGGGACCCCTTGCCCGATGAAGATTACCCTGGTTGCAGCGAAATTATCCGCCAAGCGTTTGCCTCCAGGGGTACTCCGAGCGATGTAATCCCGACTTTGCTACAGTCACTCTCAGAGGATACCCGTAAACAATATAACACCACGTATAAATATTGGTGGCGTTTTTTGCAAGAAAAAAGCATTGGATCCCTTCCATGTAGGGATCAACGAGGTTCTGCAATTTCTAAATCATTTATTCCAGAACACAACGAATGCGTTTGGTACATTTAATTCACACCGTTCGGCCCTAGCTCTAATTTTACCGGAAGATATCGGTACCAACCGTAGTATTAAACGATTCCTAAAAGGTATTTGTCGTTTGCGACCTTCCCGACCAAAATATGAATTCACGTGGGATACCGACGTGGTATTATCTTATCTTGCCAAAGTTCATCCAGTTTTGCAAATACCGTTGAAAATGCTCACTTATAAATTGTGCACCTTGCTTGCTCTCATCACCGGCCAACGAATCCAAAACGCTCTCGTTAATCGGTGCTTCAAACATCCACCGATCTAACACACGAATTCAGATCCGAATTACGGCCCCCACCAAGACCTCTTTGACTGCTTGTTCTCAGCCAGGTCTACAGATACCGTTCTTTACTGCTCGACCAGAGCTTTGTGTAGCCTCAACTCTGCTAGAATATTTAGATCGCACCTCGCCATTGCGAACACAAGAGGACTTTCTTTTTCTCACTGTGCGACAACCACACCAGACGAGCGCATAAAGAAACAATGCATGCAAAAAGTGTGACGTCACATAGGCGTTGGCGCGTTCCAACTGATTCCAAACAAAAATGGTTGCCATGGTTACCTGTGTTAAATGGCCATAAGCAAGTGGAATCAGTGGCACTGGTTTGTTGTGTTTGGAATCAGTTGCTATAGCAACCACGACTGATGACGTCACGACTTTTCTGGTGTATGAGTAAATGGATCAGGACCACTCTAGCCCAAGCAGGCATTGAGATAAGTATCTTCACTCCACATTCTA